CCGGCGCAAACCAACACTACTCAAAAGAAAAATGATTACTCCCCCTGCCCACCCGGAGCGCCCACGATTGTATAATTTAATAGATATGATTTATTATAAATATATTAAATAATTTGATTTAGCTATTCAACATTTAAAAGAATTACAATTTGATGAAAAAAACATAAATAGTTTATCAGTTGTGTCAACAATTGGTGAATATTATTATCAAATTAAACAATACGAACAAGCAATTGAATATTATATAATATCATTAAAAATAATAATTTAGAAAATAATTATGATATTGGTCGTTTCAACAATTCTATTGGCTTATGTTATGATAAAATAAATCAAGATAATCTAGCATTACTTTATTTTGATAAATCATTAGAATATTATAAAAAGTATTAGAATATAAATAATATTGAATATACTATTCAAATATTAAAAAATATTGTTATGTTATATTTAAAACAAAATAATTTACATTTAGCAACAGAATATATTAAAAAAATATTAGAAATACAACAAAATTCAAATGATATTGATAATAAAAAGAAAACATTAAATTTATATAATCTTGTTGCCATTTTACATTGTGAATTTGCTAATGACTATTTTGAAAAACATGAATATCATTTAGCTTTAGAACAATATCAAAAATCATCAACAATAAAAGAAATTATAATAAAATCAAACAAAATAATATCAAATAGAAACATTCTATATGAAATTATTGATTTATACAAATAAATTGGAATATGTTATGGAAAGAGAAATGAATTTAATTTCTCTTAGAATTATTCAAATATTAGGTAATACGTTTGTACTTATCCTCATTTAAGGGTAAACTTCATCTATAGTTTTATTACACTTAAGGCTCCTCCTCCCATACGAAATCTAACTCTGAAAATATACGTCGGATCTTGATTAAACTTTCAGGAGATGCTGATCTTGTAAAAGTATGGTGACGAAATGTTTTGCTTGGCTCCATCGCGCAGGGTTTGTCAGATGTCGCCGCAACAGTGCCAAAAATGGGGCTAATCGTAGCTGCAAGATTTCTCAGTAACGAAACGTTATGGAGAGCTCGGATGGGTCTTAAGTTGACGAAAACACATGTGCCTAGGGGCTAATAGGGTCAAAATTTTGATATTTTACTTTTCAAATTAATGGTCAGCGTCAAAAGTCCAAAATAAAGCATTAATTTGCATAGGGATATTTTTCTAACCACAAACCTAGGCCGAATATTAAAAATTGAGCAGCTCTATTAACATCTAGCCACATGTCCCAGCTTCAATTTAAGAGATAGGCGCCGCTGCTGATGTAGAAGGTTTTCCATACATATTTTTATCGTAAGAAACTTCATAAGTTGCAAATTAAGTCAACTTTTGAGTGTTAGTCAGTGGAACAAGGTCGATATTATCTGTTGCTTAAAACGTTTTTTTTTCTGTTTTTCAGCAAAATGAAAAGCACACATCGTTTGAATTCAATTTTTAGAATATAGAGCGCAAAAAAGGTTATTTTCACCACGTTCTGGAGAATAGACCTTCTGTAGATATGATTACTGGTCCTGGTCATTTTTTGAATAATTTTTGATAGAAGATAGTGGAGACCTGCGATTTTCAGTTCTGAAAACTAGACACTTGAACACATCTTTTCGTAAGGGCAAACAAATTTCGAAAAAATTTACTAAGTCGGTTTTTCAGAGGTTCTTTGTGAAACCAGCTTGGATTTTCGGAAATTTTTATAGGGTTAAAACCCCAGTTTCGTAAAACTGGCTTTTCGATAGATTTTTAAAACTTTTTCTAAAAACAAATACCGCCACGAGACTCAGCATGGTCGATTATCCACAGTCCATCGGTCTTTAAGGCTACCAAGAGTCGCCGCGTGCCAGTCCTGGGACTCGTCGGAAATCGCATACGATGCCCGAACCACCGAAAATCAAGGTCTCACTTTACTCCCATTTTGAAGAGTACACCCCGGGCTACCAGCGTATAAAAAAATCACCACATCCTTATAAGAATTTCGGAAAATCCAAGCTGGTTTTACAAAGAACCTCTGAAAAACCGACTTAGTAAATTTTTTCGAAATTTGTTTGTCCTTACGAAAAGATGTGTTCAACTGTCAGCATAGCTAATGTTGTCCGCTAAACGTCATTATCAGATCGAAGTAAAATTGTCAGACTTTGTTTCCCGCAGGCGCTACTTTCGCCCTCTGTACCTTATATAAAGTATTACGCACCATTTCTCCTCTGTCATTTCTATGCTTGATACAAGAGTCACTCTTAGATTAACCTAAATCCTTTCGTGGGGCTTGTTCTTTTCATATCAAAGAAAACTGTACACTGATCGGACCATTGTAGCCAGTGAGTGGAACAAACTTCCGCAAAACTTCACTAGCGATAATGATCCCGTTAACAGTACCAATGTTGCTGTTGTTCTCTACCAGTCTTTAAAGCTCACGGCCGCGCTCATCTTTGTATAAATGTATAAAATGGTTCTTCTGACTCGTTGTTTATTGTATCTTTTGTGCGTCCATATTTGGAAGGATTTTTGTGAGTAGTATTTACAAGCCCCCGGCTTTTCCTGTTTCCATGCTTAGATTTAAGGTAAATAAATGACACTTAATGATGCTCTTTCTATTGTTTTACTAGGTAGTGGACTTGACGATTTATCGCACTATATTATCACTCGTGTGCGTTTGATCTCGGTAAACAAGCATTCTTTTCGCTAAATAACTTGATCTCATATACAAGGGCGTAAATTATCTGTTAGTGGTAACAATATATTTTTCTTTGGATGCCAATCAAATGTCTGTATTTGAATCACTTCCAGATGAAATGTTAATAATGATCTTTTCATACATCACACCGTGGGACTTCCATCAGGAATTTTATAATCTTAACTCGAGATTAAATCGTGTCATCAATGATCCAGTTTATATGAATAAGTACACGGAATACAGACGTACAACATTACGACTAAGAGTCTTTCGCCACGAATTATTACAGGAAGCAAAATTATGGATGTTAGAGAACCAAACAGTACGAGTACAATACGAGAGATGTTTTGTGGTTTTCGACAACAGTAATGAATTTTTGATCTAAACATGTTTGCTCGTTAAGAAACTGACTTTTTTCGATTTTTCATACTACACTTTTTAACCTTCTCAAGATGTTATCCATACTAAGTGCTAAGGTGCACCTATTTTTCTTGATACTACACAGATCGAGAGAAGATTTATATAAATTTTTAGCTAACGTCTCATGCTTAAGTCACCATTAGCGTCTGTATTTTTATAAAGCAAGAAGAGGAAATCATATGAAGATCAAGCAATCTCCTTCTTATATGTTATTAATAGATACTTTGATATTAATAAGAAAGAAGAAGAAAAAATATAATTTTCGTGCAGACTTGAATTAGAAAGCCAAGGAATGATTTGTATGGGCTAGAAGTTGTCGAACAACTTTGCTACGAGATATATCGTCAAACAAGCGCCCCTTGAAAAAGAAACCGTTACATCCACATAAAAGAAGACATCGAAAGAAGTAGGGAAACTAGAAAAAAGAGAAACTAGAGAAATCAAAAGCATACATCAAACAGATAGAAGTTTCTGCATATATTTATTTCAGAAAGGCATGCAAGATACGTTAGAATAACAAAGATAATGTGATAGGAAAGCATGATGTAATGTAGATAGTAGATAAACTGGTGAAAAAAGCAGTATTTCGTAAAAAAATGAGGGGTATCCTTGATATCCTAAAGCAAGGTTAGGATGAAAAAATACGGATGTCAGACAGGAGAAAGTAAATCTTTTGCCTCAAAACAAAGTTGTGAAGATGTTGAAACTGAACGATATATCACGCCGAATTCAATCGGGAAAAGCTCCGAAAAGTGATTGAAAACCATACTTCTTGACAATGCAGACACTCTTTGTGTATGGAATCACATCTATGAAACAAATTAATCTAACGTCCATCAAAACTTTTCGCTTGTCAAACAACGGTTGGTTTTGGCACGCAAAAATACTAAGATTTGACAAACCTCACTTGCTTAAACTTTATTGTTTCGCTAATTCAATACCTAGCTAATGAACTATTATTCAGATCGTGTGCACATGGTGCATTGGTAACGAGCAACGCATTAGTTGAAAACGATTCCATTTCTTACTCGATTTCCATGATATCGTGGAGGCTATAAAAATTACATTAAGAACATTTAAACACTTATTATGCAGCAATGATAGTGGAATTTCGCAGTTCTCCATCAATGATCTCAGTTATTGAGATTATTATGGAGTATATTACGATCTTTTTGTTTAGGTTAAATCGTAATTAAGCCGTCTTTCTCCTAGTTATAAATAATAAATCGATGATATTTTCGAGATATCTTAGCTGTTTCGAGTCATTTTCTCTAATTCCGACTACTACACAAGCAGTCTTGCGCCGCATCTACGGGAACAGACTTTAAAAAATTATTCTTTTGTGTCTTCATATCAGTATTGTAGTAGTACGGAGGCGGACACTTTCCAGACTTTGTGCCACGTGGTGGCGGCGCCACAGATGAGCTGGGGTGGGCTCAGCCCACCTTAAAATATTTTGAGCCCACCCAGAAATCTTTTTTCTGGACTACATTACAAAATTCAGTGAGGCCGAGTCCATCCTGGTCAAAATTCAGAGGATCTGAGCCCACCCTAGTCTAAATTCCTGGCGCCGCCGCTATTCACAAGGAGTAGAGAAGTGGAGAGAGAAAGAGATGAATACCGAATGTATTTACAGGTTAGAAGTATTGCAATGTTGAACTGTTGGCCTAACTCACATTCTTCTTTCATATTCTTGGCAAATTGACAATTGATCATTACCTGCCTACAGTCATTTTAGCTGTCACCGTCACTCACTGCTGAGCTAGAGTAGTTTTATTTTGCTTTGGTCAAAAAATGACATATTTTCGATCAACACAGTTTTTGCAAATACGTTATTCACATTTGTTTAATATGCAGTTTTGTTAAGGAACTCTTCATTTACAATTCGGTATATGGGACATAACAATTAGAGCGTTGAAATTATACTTATCAAGCGTTTTCCATAGTGCTTCATCCTTTCTATCGGTAGGATTATTAAGAAACAGATAAAGTTGAAAGCTAACTGAAACTTTTATACTGATAATAAACGTTAAAGCCAAATGTATCTTTTGATATGCATCGTAATTTTTTGCTCCTATATTTCTGTACAAAAAAATAATTTTGTATTATTAAATATGTCAATTTGAAGTGAATCCAAAACAGTTTCTT